ATGGCTGCCGCGCTGAGCCGACAAACAGCTGATCAGCTGTTTGTCGGCTCAGCACTCTAGTCTGGACGCTCCCACGCCGACCTGAAAGCCCTTTATCGACCTCCCTGTTATGCCTTGTAGGATGAGGTTTACCAGGGAGGTCGATAAAGGGCTTTCATGTCGGCGCGGGAGCGTCCAGACTAGCACGCTGAGGCAACAAACAGCTGATTAGCTGTTTGTCGGCTCAGCGCGGCAGCCATTTAAATTTAAATGAAGCTGCGATTATTTAAATCGCAGCTTCATTTCGACGGAGCCATGTAGTTTAGACATACCCATATTGTCGACAAAGCTTCTGTCGACAAAAAGCGTCTAGACTACATCCAATTCTGTCGACAAAGCAAGCTGCTTTGTTGACATGAGAGTGTAGACGCAAAGGACAGTGTAGCTGCAATAACACCTTCTGTCGACAGAACTCTCGACAAAAGGTGTTATTCCTCGTTGAATGAGGTTTACCACCGTCAACAAAACTGCCGAGTTCTGTCGACATTATGTAGACAGAACTCGGCAGCAGTGTAGACACAGGTATAGTTTTGTCGACAAAAGTCCACTTTTGTCAACAAAACCCTGTAGTCTAGACACAGCCTTAATGATTTCTAACTTTCTGTTCGCTTTTTTGACTGCTGCTGTGGACTAAGTGGCTGTTTTCAGAGAACCATATACAGTGACCCCAAGATTTCTCTCTTGAGTGGTAGGAGCTAACGTAGTTGCCACCATTTTATACACATAGTTGGGATTAAGTTTTCTAATATGCATTACTTTATATTTATTAATATTAAAATTAATCTGCCATGTTGTTGCCCAGTGACCTAGTTTTGTGAGATGAATTTGAAGATCTTCACAGTCTGTTTTGAACTTAAATGGGAACCTCACACCTTTTCCCCCCAGACTCCTCATTCAGGCGGGAAGATCTCAGGTCATGAGAATTCAGGTCCCCAGTGGGGCGGTCTAGCAGCGCGGGGCCTTTTGGTGCTATGGTAGGGCAGGAAGGGATCCGTGCTGGGGGCTCTGGGAGCCTCTCTCAGGGGAAGAAGGAGCTGGGTGACTTAGCTGCCACTCACAGCTAAGGTATACACTGGTCACCCTCATGTCATCCCTTCCCACAGCCGCCTAGGCCTGGCTCCTTTTCTTCTTCAAAACTGAGCTGGCCTTGGGGGAATATCATTAGTCCTGACCTCCCCCTACCTACTCATCAGGGTGTAGTGCATATGGGGACAGGCAGGGACATAATGGGGGACGGGGGTTCAGTTGTTACCAGCGAGAGCACACGGCGCCAGGAGTAGGATCCCCAGGCTGCACACACAGAGCTGCCATCGCGTCGCCATGGTTACATCCCGGGCAGGGACCTGTCGGGAGAGAGCAGGGATGGTTAACACCCACCACCTGTGTGAGGGGCTGGCAGTGCAAAGATCTGACCCAGCAATTTACTGGGACATGTCGTGTATCCATTCCCATCTCCTCCCCTTCTTCGTTCTCTGACCACCAAGCACTCTGCAATGATCATGGGTGCATTACACAACTAGTTAGTGAATGAAAAAGTAATACAACCTTTATAAAACCCTACTTGAGCATATCTGTGGTGACCTGCTGGGTGCAGCTACACTGTTCTCCACCCTCCGTTGAGGATCCGCTCACAGTTCCTTTGTGCATAACGCCGTCCCTTATGAGGAAGCGTCTCTACAACTTGCACAAACATATCTCCACAACTGCTGCAGAGGGAAAGTGTGTGTGATATGGGGAAAAATCCTTGTTAATGTTTCAGACCTTCTGGTGACAAAGAGGGCCCATGTGCTGGTCTTTCTCTCTAGTGGGGGCAATGGGGGGTGGGGGGAGAGGGATTCAGTCACTGCTACTCAAATGGATAGGGGGCAGGTCTGTGGGGAACGTAGGGTCTTATATTGCTTGAATCCAGCACCAACTGCTGCAGAGTGCCCCGCCCTTCCTGGTAGTGTGTCTTCAGGCCTGCTCCAGAGCAAAGGGTGAGGATAGGTTTCATATTACCAGAGTGTGCCCTTGTGCAAAGCAGGGTTTTGAATGCAAGAGAG